GTCATGCAGTCTTGCTTTTCTTTTTCATTGAAGAAATGAGACTGTGTGTAAAAATGGAGAGACATTTGTGCATCACTTGTGTATTTCAAGGTAAAAGATGACATTGAAAGATGTCAGCTTGCCATCCCTGGACGTGTTTGTTACCGGAGTGACTGGGACATCAGCTCTTTACTATCAACCACAAAATGCTGTGCGATGTGACAATAAAAACATTCTGTGTCAAACCTGGTTACAATGATTTTTTTTCCACAGATTTCTTAAACGCAAGTGAAATACATCAGATTGTTTCCACTAAACTTCCAGTGAAAATAGAAACAAAATTACCTCCAAACTGTAAAAATCTCTCTGTTGATTACACCTGCAGGGGTAAGTGAAAAGACTACAAGTAAAAAGACTTTGTGTGTTACTAATATTATAAATGGATTTACATGGAAATAGATAGAGATTTGACTCTGCAATTCCCTGTTTTAATTAAAACTTAAGATATATGAATTGTCTGTCAGTGAAGGGGGAAGGTGAAGTATTACTTTGTGCTCTCAGTGAATCAGTTCTAAAAAGAAGATTTTTTTATATTTTTCTGAATGAGTCAAAATTCGATTTAATCTGAAAAGATGCTGCTACATGAGCTCTGAGGTATAAATACTAGTTGTTGAAGAAATGCTGTCATCCTCGTGTCTCCTCAGAGAGTGGCAGAGTCACTGAGCCTAAGCTGGAGTCGCAGCTGGAGTCGGAGCTGGAGCCGTTTACTGACTACAGCTGTACTGGTCAGATCAAGGACAACAATGTCACCATTAAAAACACAACTGCTGTTTACGTCAGGATTGACTGTGGTATGTTGATGTTCACTTCACCTCAGTGCAATGAAAGCTTTTATCCTCAGATACTGTGGAGTGAATTACTGTGTAGCACCAGAACTCAAGTCTGTTACAGATGTCTGATGTTCCAACAGATTTTAACATAATCGCCACAAAGAACAGAGTAACCAATACGTCTATTGGCTTGAGTTGGAGCACAACCAGTGACAAGTGTCAAGAAGTCCTTCATGAGCTTGATAAGCTTTCATACGACTGCAGCTGTGGTCCTACTCCCTCCCATCAGACACACAGGAGTAAGTAAAATTATTCAGATTAACTCTCTAATGTTTTTAATTCTTTTAACAGGAATTCATTTCTGGAAGTTGTTGGAGATCCTTTTTCTATTCAGTTTATCTAAATAGTAAAATATACTTTGGACATTTGAGTCATTGTTGGAGCTACAGCGCTCCATGCTAACCCTTCAGCATCCTGAGTGTTAGTAGGTGTAAATAAGAAAAATCAAAGTTTCACAAAATCAACATGAAATATGACACAGAAATAACACTGTGATTGTATTAAACCACTGGAAACAAAGGTTTTCAGTTTTCACATGTTTATTGTCCCAGTCTGCTTTCCTACTAGCACATAATGTGGACAATAGTTTTAGCTTGCAGGGCCAAAGCTGGTGATCTACCAATGATGCATTGATGATATTAACTGATTGATTAACATCCATTCTCTTGTCACTTAAAGTGCAAAAACAATCAGCTGTTGTGTACACCCTTAATTTTGTCTCTGTTGTGTTGCTATTCAACAAAACAAACTAACAGCTTGTGAAACTTTAACTCACAGGTAAAGCTAAACCATCAGGAGGAACATGTCTTGTTTCTGGACTGGAACCATTCACCACATACACCTGTGGAGTCAAACCCATCTACAACAACACAGAGACAGATGCTAAACAAACTCCAGTGACACAAGTGACTGAGGCTGGAAGTAAGTAACCAATGAAAAATGATCACAGCTGATTCTATGATCTAAATCTATGACACAAGAAGAATATTTGGACTATATTCACTGACAGTCTGTGCTGCACATACATGTTGAATATTGAGTTACTCATGTGGCAGTAAGAGTATCTGTATGAAACACTTTCTTAAGACCAAACAGCTTTGAAACTGTTTCAGTATTTGGGGAGAAAACTGATCCCATGTGACGTACTATGACTTTAAAACACCTCGTTCAGGAAATATGGTCCCTACATGAATATTTGAATTTGGAACTTCAACACAATATTTACTGTTATTAATTATTTAGTTATTATTTAACTTAATTATATTAATTATTATTTGAAATGAGTTTTTTGTATTTATCATTATAAAAATTACAATTATAAGATTTTTCTTTCTGTTTGTCCTTTTTAATAAATGTTGCTGATCAGAGAGCAAATAATTCGCACAGACAAATACCAACATTCATTATGTAAAGGAAAATGTATCCATTACACACTCCAAACCATGACAGTGAAGATTAAAAGGTACCTGCACCTGTTTATTCATCACTGTAAGTGGAAGAGCCTGTAGTGTGGAGCCAGAGTAATTACTGACTTTCTTGGTGTAAAATCTTTACCAAGTGGTACATTGATCATTTAAAAGACATCCATTGATTGATTAAATAACCATTCATGTTAAAGGATGTATTAAAAAAACAACAATAGATAAGCATCAGCAAATTTGCCAAATAATTGATTTCATATGCTGTCTTTACATAATGACATTAAAAATATATCAACATCTAAAACATCCTGATGCACAAGACAACCAGTACAGCAACACTCTGATATTAACAATAATATTGTTGATTACTGTTAAAACTGCTGTTAGAGCAAATTAAAATCACTTTAACGGTGACTATGCTTCTGAAGATAAGTGTGTTTTTCTTCATTTTTCTTACAGTACCAGACGATATTAAAGACCTGAGGACGTCAGAGCCAGAGCATAATGTGATTATAGTAACCTGTATTCATTCAGGAAAATTTAAAGGTCATACAGACGAAAAGAGATACAGAGCAGAACTTCATCATGGTGGTGTCATTGTGAAGGAACTTAAAGAGAAAGAATGCAAGTTTGAATTCAGGGACCTGAGTTACTCTACGACCTACACAGTGAAGGTTTGTATGATCCTATTTTTTAGTTTCATTAGAATATGATCACTTTACTCTTCATATTCCTCCAGATTCTGTAGAACCTGATGAAGGGATTCTCTGTCTTTCCAGGTCATTGCTTTCAACACAGAATTGGAGAGCAGGCCCAAGACAAAGGAAGTTTCTACTTTCTGTATGTACTGTTTGAATTAACAACACAAGCTGTTCAATTTTGATATATTGTTTTTCTGACATTCAGTACACACCACTTAATTTCTCTACATTGTATCTTGAACACCACCCTGATATTCTTCTGTTATAACCATTATTTTACAGACAGTGACAAAGCTGTCATTGGTTTTCTGGTCTTCCTCTTCATCACCATCACATCTGTTGTGGTGTCTGTGTTGGTCTACATGATTTACACTAAGACGTGCAGAAAGTCCAGAAAGTAAAGATCTTTTTGTTTCTAATCTCCTTCAAAACGTTGACTGTCACATTGTGACAATTATTTTTTTCATCAATTACTTTACTAATAAAACAATATGTGCTTTAATTCATGATACCAGAGAGGTAGTTTTGAAGATGAACTATGTTGATTGTTCCATTCTGTATTATATTTCATATAAATGTAATTCTTTAAAGCCAGTCTTCACTATTTTCTCCACAGTGATGTGAATGAAGATGTGATGCTTGAATCAACAGCAAGTGAGTCGACTTTAAGTTTCATGTCTTTCCTACATTTTCTTTGACTATAGGCAACAAACAACAATCACATTTAGCAGCTACAAGCAATGACTGATGTTTTAGCTGCTAATTATTAGATCATTTCTTATCAATCCTGAATACTGTATTGAGATATTAAAAATCTTCCAAAAGATGGTTTTATTCTGATGAAAATTATAGTGATCAGCAGCTGTAACAAGACTTGGTAAACATATAGTGTATTAGTATATTTTAGAAATATAATATTTAACAAACACTAACTTTCAGTATTTCCTGTTGGATTTTTGTTGTAGTTTATGTTAATGTACCAACTCCTGGATGGCATCATTAAAAAACTTGCTGATGAAGAAAAGCCTGATGGAGCTGCAAACCAAATCATTTACTCTTTACTCTGCTGAGTTATCAAATGTTTATCAAAGTATGTAGTGAGTCTTTTGCAGTTAGACAATTGATTTCCAAACTTTTAACGAACTTCTTGTTATTAGCTAAAATCTCCATTACTATATTAGATGTAACTGTTTAAACTCTATGGTACTTTTCTCACTTTGTTGCATTTAAGAGTTTTAACATGTTGCCTGTTGCTTTCACATGAATATTGTAACATGTTAGAAATGAACTTTTTTTTTATCGATGTTTCTAAGCCCCTTGAGAGCTTTGTAAAATAAATAAAGTTACACCAACTAAATCCCAACCACACACAAGTTGTTGCTGATCATTTTACTGACGACTCTCAGCTCCCAACCCTTCAACTGCTCACGAGTAAAAAGCAAAGCTTAGATGTGAAGCAACCTTTGGATCTGGCTTGGGATTCGCTCACATACTCACTCACTAACGCCACCTATAAAAGAGTAAAGTTACAGCAGCAACAATTACGGCCCAGTGATCATGTTAAAGGTACAGTTTTTTCTTCCATTTTTCAAAAATATTAAACAAACACACCCACAAAAAACAGCAGCTCATGTATAAATTGCAGCCGCTATTACTTCACCATGTCTACTACTGTGTTGAGTTCAGATCCTCTGAAGCTTTGTCTAAATTCATTGACTCCTCCAAATGTAGCAGCCGCCTGTTTCCTGAATGAAGAACACACTCAGGCCTTTGTTTCCCTGATATCCTTTAATCTATCTATCAGTTGTTTAGTCAATCATCATCAATATTATTCTTATTGCTTCAATATATCAGTTAGTTTGTGCTCAAACATTGGTTTTGAAACTAACACTGCACTAATCATGTGTCTGTAATCCTCACATACCAAACACTTCTACTGAAAACACAATTACAACAGCATGCACACTGCATATCAACAGACTGACTATCAGGACTATCAAAAGAGCAATAAAGTAAAAAAAAGATATGAGGTTCAGATAACAGAGGATTTCCTGTGCACAGATGCATCACAGAAATGAAGCTTCCTGCCACCAACATTAAAGGTAAATTCTGGGTGTGATATCACTCTTGCTCACTTAACTGGAAACCAGAGTTGAGGTTTAAAGTTTGAACAAGTCAAGACGCTGCAGTCAACAACATTAAAACATACAGCTTCTTTTAGGAGTGTGAATTTCTGCCCATTGGACCATACTGTATGGTGTGTGGCCGCACACACCCCAACTCCTGTAAATGGCAGGGCTCTGTGTTCTCAAGATCCTGCTGCTCTGGACCGGGATCATCAGTTTGGCCAATTGTGAGTAACTATCTTCAATGTTGATTTAATGGGCATCTTCATAAAGAGAGTGTGGAGCAAGAATGTGTTTTCTAACACAAGTCTTTCTATCCGTCACCCTTCAGAATTCAAGATAGATTTTTTGTGACATAAAACATGAAGCGCTGGAGGTGATGAAGTCCCGTATCCTATACTGTATTTGTGCAAGAGAAAAATAAATCAGACTGTTACCACTCAACTCCCTGAAAAAAAAAGAAATTACAGTGAACTAACCTCTGAACCGTCATAATAATCTCTCTACTGAGGTCTTATGTGTGTGCGTTTTTTATTTATTTATTCATGCTAAAAATCACACAACAAACTAATATACAATGTATATAATAATAACATAACAATAATATATGATTTTCAACGATAATATAGATGATAATCAAACATTTGTTGATATACAAAGCCAGAGTGGCACTTTTTATCAAGAGTAAGCAGAGTGTGATATCTGAAGGAAATATGGTGTCTTTTCTTATTTTGTTACAGCACCAGATGATATGACTAAACTGAAGACGACGGCTCCAGAGCCTCATGTGATTATAGTGAGCTGTGAATATTCAAGGCGCTTTAATGGACCTGAGGTGATGTATATCACACAACATCGTTATGCTGGTGATACTCTGCATGTACGTATGAAAACCAAGTGCGTTTGAATTCAAAGATCTGACGTACTATGAGATAATTCCTGATAAAAAGGTCTTTCTGTCTTTCTGTCCAGGTGACTGCTTTCAATGAACACTTTGAGCACAAGTCCAAGACATATGATGTTGCTACTCACTGTATGTGCTGTTTTAATCAGCAAGAAATTGCCTTCATTTGAAAATCATTTCAACAAATCTTATTCTGACATATAAGCCGCATCTGCATTGTCTATATCTTGTATCCACTATTGTTCTTCTGTCATAACACTCGTTTTGCAGATCATGACAAAGCTGTCATTGATTTTCTGGCGTTTCTCATCGTCCTCACGTCTGTGGCAATACTTGTGGTGATCGACAGCATATACGTTCTTAACCGTGTTCCTAAGCACAGAAAGTCTCGGTAAGGACAACTTTGCATCTAATCTCCTGCTTGATAAAGACAAAACAATTAACAGTGATCAGTGTTTACTTGATAATCATGTCCTCAAATCTCTTGGTAAACGCTGTTTAGTCTGGTGTATTCCATGTTTTTCACTATCAATTAAAGTGTTTCAAGTCAAACTTTAGAATTTTCTCCACAGTGACGTGAATGAAAACGCGATGTTTCAAACGGCAGCAAGTAAGTGCTCCTTTGCTTTTCTGTTTTTACACTGGTAGTGCTTTCTTGAAACTTGAATGGAACTGAGCCAACATTCATGTCCTTAGTTCCTTCTTTGTATTTGCTACATGCTTTTTTTCCTGTGGGCACAATGTAAATTAATTTCCCTTGAATCAATAAATAAATCAATCAATCAATCTATTACTTCACCATGTCTACTACTGTGTTGAGTTCAGATCCTCTGAAGCTTTGTCTAAATTCATTGACTCCTCCAAATGTAGCAGCCGCCTGTTTCCTGAATGAAGAACACACTCAGGCCTTTGTTTCCCTGATATCCTTTAATCTATCTATCAGTTGTTTAGTCAATCATCATCAATATTATTCTTATTGCTTCAATATATCAGTTAGTTTGTGCTCAAACATTGGTTTTGAAACTAACACTGCACTAATCATGTGTCTGTAATCCTCACATACCAAAACACTTCTACTGAAAACACAATTACAACAGCATGCACACTGCATATCAACAGACTGACTAATCAGGACTATCAAAAGAGCAATAAAGTAAAAAAAAGATATGAGGTTCAGATAACAGAGGATTTCCTGTGCACAGATGCATCACAGAAATGAAGCTTCCTGCCACCAACATTAAAGGAAATTCTGGGTGTGATATCACTCTTGCTCACTTAACTGGAAACCAGAGTTGAGGTTTAAAGTTTGAACAAGTCAAGACGCTGCAGTCAACAACATTAAAACATACAGCTTCTTTTAGGAGTGTGAATTTCTGCCCATTGGACCATACTGTATGGTGTGTGGCCGCACACACCCCAACTCCTGTAAATGGCAGGGCTCTGTGTTCTCAAGATCCTGCTGCTCTGGACCGGGATCATCAGTTTGGCCAATTGTGAGTAACTATCTTCAATGTTGATTTAATGGGCATCTTCATAAAGAGAGTGTGGAGCAAGAATGTGTTTTCTAACACAAGTTCTTTCTATCCGTCACCCTTCAGAATTCAAGATAGATTTTTTGTGACATAAAACATGAAGCGCTGGAGGTGATGAAGTCCCGTATCCTATACTGTATTTGTGCAAAGAAAAATAAATCAGACTGTTACCACTCAACTCCCTGAAAAAAAAAGAAATTACAGTGAACTAACCTCTGAACCGTCATAATAATCTCTCTACTGAGGTCTTATGTGTGTGCGTTTTTTATTTATTATTCATGCTAAAAATCACACAACAAACTAATATACAATGTAATAATAATAACATAACAATAATATATGATTTCAACGATAATATAGATGATAATCAAACATTTGTTGATATACAAAGCCAGAGTGGCACTTTTTATCAAGAGTAAGCAGAGTGTGATATCTTGAAGGAAATATGGTGTCTTTTCTTATTTTGTTACAGCACCAGATGATATGACTAAACTGAAGACGACGGCTCAGAGCCTCATGTGATTATAGTGAGCTGTGAATATTCAAGGCGCTTTAATGGACCTGAGGTGATGTATATCACACAACATCGTTATGCTGGTGATACTCTGCATGTACGTATGAAAACCAAGTGCGTTTGAATTCAAAGATCTGACGTACTATGAGATAATTCCTGATAAAAAGGTCTTTCTGTCTTCTGTCCAGGTGACTGCTTTCAATGAACACTTTGAGCACAAGTCCAAGACATATGATGTTGCTACTCACTGTATGTGCTGTTTTAATCAGCAAGAAATTGCCTTCATTTGAAAATCATTTCAACAAATCTTATTCTGACATATAAGCCGCATCTGCATTGTCTATATCTTGTATCCACTATTGTTCTTCTGTCATAACACTCGTTTTGCAGATCATGACAAAGCTGTCATTGATTTTCTGGCGTTCTCATCGCCCCTCACGTCTGTGGCAATACTTGTGGTGATCGACAGACATACGTTCTTAACCGTGTTCCCTAAGCACAGAAAGTCTCGGTAAGGACAACTTTGCATCTAATCTCCTGCTTGATAAAGACAAAAACAATTAACAGTGATCAGTGTTTACTTGATAATCATGTCCTCAAACTCTTGGTAAAGGCTGTTTAGTCGGTGTATTCCATGTTTTTCACTATCAATTAAAGTGTTTCAAGTCAAACTTTAGAATTTTCTCCACAGTGACGTTCGAATAAAAAAACCGCAAAATTGTTTAAAACG